GAAGAGGATTATTGTGTTGGCGAGTTGGTGGGTGGTGGGTGGATTGACTCAAAATAAAATTGTAATAGGTGGTTCAAAATACATCGGCGCCCCTGCATCAATTTATTCAAAAAAATATTTTGCAATGATGATAATTAATAATATTATAAAAACAACATTGTACTCGTATTCATTTACCTCTATCAACGCAAAATTATTTAATTTTAATTATGTATAGGTACCTACACAACAGAAATATTATTTTTAATTATTTGTTTGTTTTTTTCTCAACTATCCCAACATGGAAACTACGTACTAAACGTGGAAACAGTAATAAAAAGTATAAAATATCATTAATAAGAAAAACATATAACATGCATGGGAACAATTGAAAAACAAGATGACTTTTATAATTTATTACTTAAATATACATCTTTAGATAAATATAATTTTTATTAATAAATTAATTACTATTATTATTGACCTGAATTTTCAGTTAAAACGAATGATGTCTACCTATTAGAATATTTTAATACATTTTTTCTTTTATTAATGTTTCATAACTATTTTAAAAAATCTTGTCTAAAATCTTTATAAATTTGTAATAACTACCAAATTTGGGTCAACAATTTAGAGTAAATATTATGCAACACAAGCTACATTCAAACTTAATTATAAAAACTCCATTTTAATTTATGGCAATAAAATGCAAATAAGGACGCAAGGGGTAATATACTAATATCATAATAAAATATGACATATTGACATAGACAACATACAGTTCACATTGCATTTATAGTGCAATTTGTTGATTAGATGTATACATTTAAAAATACTTACTATAAATTATAATAATGATGAAAAACTAATATTAATAGGTACAGATGAAGAGGAAATAAAATGTTCAGCATTCATAGTACAAATGTGCTCTGTTTAATGGCTCTTTGAGACTATCTACTCACTATACTTACTATAGTTTTTAAGCCCAGAGTCTAAATGACGAAAGGTAGGTACTACAAACTCATCATTCCCATAGGTTCAGTTTCATTTTCAAAAACTTTTTAAAATATATCTTATTTTAACCTAATAATTAAGTATTGAAAATTAATTGGTTTTGTAATTGGTAAGTATTATTGTAATTTGACCATTTTATTTTTCTTTTAACTTATTGTAATTTACATGTTCTTCAAATGTATTAATATAATCGATCAAACATAATACATTACTATTTCATTATTACAATAAGCTGTAGGTACATATTATATACCTAAGCCATACACTTCATATAATATAATATTTATAACTATAATACATAAATAATATGCAGTACACAGTCCACCTGTAATTCCGAAAACAATTAACATGTACTATGTACCTTTCTCCAATTTAAAGGATAAGATAAAATTAATTTAATTATATTTATATATAAGGAGATCTACGGCGATTAAAATCAATTTGATTATATGTTGGAAGTACCACACCAATATTGTTTGAATGTTTAATGACTAAACGTTTTTCTTGTTCTAAATAGTACCTATACATCATTCACTTTAAAACCAAGTAATATAATTAAAATAATACAGTCCTAACTTCAGGGGAGGAATCCAAAATAAGTTTTCCTAAATAATGTAGCTCAAGGCTTCTCTGATTAAGGTCACAAGACTTAAAAATTTGTCAACTATGTGGTTAGGGTATCAGACAACAGTACTATTTTTATACAATAAAAAATACGTATTTGTTCCTAACAAAATTAACTAAAATTACTTAAAAGTTAGAAAAACTTAAATTAGGTTAAAAATACTAGTTTTTAGTACTCATAGGTACTTTATAAATATGGAAAATTAATAATACACACTAGTTATCCTGGGATGTTATTGTTAACCAGTAAACTAAAGGTTTTAGACCACACCAAAAAACTATTGTCAGATGGTGTCTCATGAGGATATGTTCTCACGTTTTCTGTTAATGTAAATCCATACATGAATGCATTTGGAATAAGTTGATGAGTAATGTCTCTTAGCCCCCATTTTGCATTATGCATATTCAAATTACTATCAAATACAAATTTCCTAGTAGGAGTTAGCTTATAATTATCTGTATATAGTCCACACGTAAAAATTTTACCTTTTGGCTTTAATGCACAACAGCTACCCCTAAACAATCCTAAAAATATATAAAATAGTTATTGTACATTAAGTTAAGATTAATAAAAACCATTAATTAAAATGATTTTACTTTTAAAAACTAAACCTCCTGTACATATATAATTAGAAACATGCAACATGTTTATATTCAATATATAATCATATTGTTTATTCATCAATTGACCACTAAGCCATACAGATAGATCAGAGGATATATCCAAATATTTTGCTGGTAATACATTTGACAAATTATATTTTGTACAAGCATTTATAGTTTCAAAGAGTCGTCTATAAATTTCAGTTGGCTGAAACTCAATATTTGGAAAATTTTCTGCAAAATATGATATATGCTGACCAGTTCCAGAAGATATTTCCAATAAACTACCACCAGATGGGTCCACACATTTTTTCAGAGATGATAAGATTGATTCTTTATTACGTTCAGGGTCATGTTCATGAAACGTCTATACAAACATATTACACACACAAATAATATGTGCTATACAATTTAATCAAGTAATCATATTGTATATTAAATATCTAAATTAATGTGGTAAATTCAAGCTAATAAAATGAGGTGTCTAAAAGTTCAAATTATAAAATAATCTCATACAAAAAATGACTTTATTAAACAAAAATAATTTGTATTATGTATTTGTCATATCTTATGTTTAATGATAGATAAATATTAGTTTATTTATGAATAATGAAAAAATAATGATTTCCCTTAAAAATTGAAAACCGATTTCATTAATACATAATACTACAGGTGTATTAACTAATAAGATGTACATCTAAAACCATTATTTAGAACATATAAAGTAAATACAATATCGTTTTTTTATTATACGAGTAATAAACCCTAAAACATTTTGGTTGAAACAAAATAATGAAAAATTTAATTTACAGTACTTCAGTAGATATTTTACATTTTGGGCCTTTTGGGGACCCCAGTTAAAAGATTAACACTCTTTTCCCTTTTCATTGAAGGATTCTTATTTGATCCTGGCACATTGCTATCTTGTAACCATCTAACTTGTGTAGCTGGTCCATATCCCTTTTCATTTTTTGCAGCAATTCGAAATATTATAGCAGGTTTATTAGTCCTATCGATCAGCGCGGCCCCAAGTGACTCGTGACTGACCACAGCAGCATTATGAGGTCCACAATACACACGAACAAAATTTAAATTTGTCGAAGTTGGTTTTGGACTTTGGTGTGGTATATCCTTAGGATTTTTAATAGCCAAACAAACAGAATATTCTAAAATCTTTCCAGAACTAGTAGGAGGGGCTTCCCATGTTAAACTAGCACCATCTGGTGCTTTTGTTATTTTAATAGCAGATGGAGCACCTGGATAACCTGGTAAACAGGTCTTAAATGCAGATATTTCACTCCATTCTCCACGGCCACAAGTATTTATAGCAGCTATCCGAAGTTTGTAAGCTGTACCCGGTTGAATATCAATTTTTAATTTATGTGTATAATCTGGTAAATGATCTAAGCTAGTATTTTCATGTTCATCAGTAGTAGAAGTTGAATAAAATTGTTTCACCAAACAAGTAGTACCTTTAATTACACCAACATCACACCATGCTGGTCCTTCTTGTTTAGCTGGTACTATTGGCTGTATAGATTTTGATATTACACTTTCTGCAGTTCCATTAGTAGGAGGAGCCTGATTTAAAGCAGCAGTTGCTAATGTTGACAATGCATCAGCAATATCATTTTCTGATTTCTTCTGTTCTTTCTGATTTGCTTTTTCAACCTTGCATAAAGAATTTTCAAGATTTTCAATTTTAATTGGGTCATCAGTTTTAATAAACTCTGGTTTTATTTCAAGTAAAGGAGGTCCAACATTTTGTGATGGTTCATCAGTTAAGAACTCTGATAACTCTCTCATAACCAAGTCTTTCAGTTCTGAATCTTTCATACTTAACACTGATTGTTGATCTAAATCGACTCCGTTATCTTCAAGTTTTATATCATTATTCAAAGCTGAATCGGTGACAGGAATAATTTGTTGACTCTCTTTTATTAAACCGTCTTGACTAACTGGAACAATTTGATCTTGAGTTGGTTCAATTAAATTATCTTGAGTAGGAACTGCAGATTCCGTTAGATTATCTGATGTTGATAATAATTGTTCTGATACTGGTGTAGGTTGATCATCAACACTGTCTTGTTGAATTGGATCACTATCTACGATTGCAGTGTCTTCAACTTTTACAATACCTTCCAATGTTTTTTCAGGAACTAATTCTAATTTTTCGGGCTCTTTGACCTTATCAGTATCTTCAATGGATGTTTGTTCTGGTTCTGGTTCTGGTTCTGGTTCAGGATTAGTTATTGGTTCATTGTCTTCTTCATCAACTGTAGAAGGTTCATCTTTTATTTTTTCTATGGTAGCTAATTGATCAGAATCAATAATTTCAGATTTAATTGTTTCTGTTTTAGCAGAACTATCACTGATATCTTTATCGTCCATAGTCTCAAGTATAGATAAATATAATATCTGTAAATTATAAAAAAAAAATGGAAACATTAAAGTATTAATCAGTTTATTTGTATAATTGTATACTAAATACCTAATAAATGTTAAAATAATTATGGACTTTATTAATTTAAATAAAATCGGTTAATAACTTAAAATAACTATTACTAACAAGGTTTAGATTGGATAAATTTACTATACAGCAACCGGGCAGTAACAACACTGAGGTTATTTGTTAATGCTAAGAGTGACAATGGTAATTTTTATTTTTTAAAAATCAGATAATATAAAGAACCTGTATGTGTAACATATATTCGTAATGTTTACAAGTTGTAAAAGTAAATCTAATCACAAAACATGATTGGACATTTAAAAAAAAAAAAAAGGATAATGTATTATTTATATAACGCCATTAAAAACACTTTTTTGTGTGCGCTTGTAGACACAATTGTAGAATATGGATCAGTTGTATGGGACCCTCATACTGCAGATAATGTACGACAAATTGAAGTTCCTGAGCTATACTAGTCTCATACTCAAGATACCTTGTGCGCCTCATAACTATACACCGATTGCTATTCACCTAGGTATGGCCTCCTTGGCCGAACGTCGCCGGTATTAAATTCCTTGAGGGTCTTTTGAATAATATAGATTCTCCAGTTCTTCTCTCTCAAATCTCCTTTAGAGTTCCATCTCGCCCATACCGCTCAAAAGCCCTCTTCTATGTCCCGCATGCCACCACCAACTATATGGCTAATGAGCCTTTAAGGTGTCTAATGTCGTTTCCCAATACAGACCCAGCCTTCGGAAATTTGCTAAATTATTAACGTATATATTTATAACATAAATTACTGTAATCGGATAAATGTATTAATGTATAGATTTAATTTTTTTTCTCTCTTCTTTTGCAACAAATTCTAGTATCTCAAATATGTCATTTTGATGTTAAAAGGCCCATTTCCATTTACCAAATAAAATAAAACAATACACTCTGCTCAACGACAGAATAATATTACTTTGTGCATACTACTGTCAAAAATTCCTTCTCCAGTCTCCACGACTAAACACGACTGTAAATATTGTCCCAACTTGAAAGAAACTGGTGAGCAATAGACGTTTTTGTGCTATAACAGGAAGAAATGACGATTTTTCATCCATCAAACAATCATCTCGTTGGACAGAGTATAATCTGTATATATAAAGACTTGTATAGTATATAACAGCCAACTGTCTACCAATTGACATCAGACAATAATTCCTCATGTCTAAGAATGGAACCAAAAATATGTCTGCTCCTCAGACATGCACAATGGCAATTGTTTCAAAACCCTATCAAGACTACCACCTGAAATCATTCTAAAAAAATCTTCAGGACATCCTGGAAGAAAAATTGTTCAAATCCAACAACATATAGTCTATAGAATTCGCCCCAGCAATCCACCCAAGGAACACAAACCACAAAAAAACCAACATGGAGCTTATCCATCTCAAAAAATTGACACATACCATGTCCACATAACCAAGAGTTTTGTAGTTTTAATATTAGAATATTATGTAGACTAAAATATGCAAAATGTTGAGAATCATTGCTTAGTATAGTATGTGGCAGCTTGACACCACTACTACATCCAATCATCTAACCGCAACTGTACATAAGAATGCTTAAGTTATAACAGGGATCATCAAATTGCAGCACTTAGGCCATATGCAGCCTGTAAAAAACTAAACAGATTAAAACAAGTACTAATAATAATACAGACAGTGGAGCAAACATGTACTTCAGGTAGTTCAAATGAACTGCCTTAAAAATTGGATGGGTTGGTGGGTAAAAAAATATTTAAAATAATAAAATAATAATAGAGTATACTTTTGAGTTTTTTTGCTACAATTGTATTAAACACTGGAATGTCATTAAATTATTTGAACTGTCAGTTATAATTTCATTCAGTGACACTGTACATTGTCATAGACATTTATATCCAACATAGTAAGTAATACATAACATAACTCAAGCCAAAAACGTATTCAATTACAAATGTATGATATTTTATAATACTTAAATATATTGTATAAAGCGGCTCATCCACGATCAATAATCAATATTGACAATATTATTGACCATGGAACGGTTATATTGAAAATATCAAAACCGTTTTGATATTTATTGATATTAATAATATTGATCACGTATAGGCCGCTTAAGTTTAAGTCTAACACAACAAACATGATTGAGAGTAATGGGTTAAAATGTTGTGCTAGTAACTCTTAAGTAAGCAATAAATTATTACCTTGATTAAATGGAGTAAAATGAAAATATAATTTGTTTTATCTAGCAAACAGATAACGAAACGTAGATCACTAACTTACGAAGGTACTTCCAATTAACATTGAAATTAAAAAGAAATTTGACTTAAAATCTTGAAAAATGTAGAATCTGCAATCTGCAATCTGCATTCAGGTTTCTGAAATAATGATAATTGATAAGTAATAAGTAAACAACTCTTATCGTGGAAGAAATTAAATTTCACTATTCAAGAAAATTCTAACAATCGCATTAATATTACAAGTATATTAATTGTTGGAAAACGTAACTATAATTCTAGCAGACGGTTTGGAAAAATTTAAGTTAGTAATTTACTACAATTACAAGTTTGACAAATATTAATTAATATTAATTTGAATTGTTTTTTTTTTTTTTTGATCACAAATCACTACCTTTCATTCCATGAAATAGTTGTTTACAAACACTGTGTAGCGAAACGACGTGTTTGCAGGGATAAGTACCTCTTGTACCACAAATTTTTTCCAAGACAACTTATTCCAATGATATTAATTTCCAAATTTTACATTTATTCCTATTTACACATTTTGTTTCAATCATAGAGCTTATACTACCCACTAAACCTGACAAGAACTGTATAACAACACTACAATAGCATTACGAGTGGCGTGCAAATATATTGCTGTGATATAGACATATAGTCTATTTTGACAACAATATTCAATAATTTATCTATAGCATCATAGAACTTACTCTACTCCCTCACACCGCCATGCATATGACTATATGAGTATAAAATATAAAGGAATAAAAAACGAATGCCCTGTTTTGCCGCTTTCTAACTCAATAATTGTCTAGTAGAATAAGTTCTGTGACTTAAATGCATATTTATAGAAAAATATTTGTTCTAATTACATTTTTATTTTATAAATTCGCATATAATAGTCTTTAATCAAATATTAACTAGTTGTAACTCGTTAACTTTAAAGATTAACAATAGTCTTTGAGTAAAGATTAAATAGAAAATAAATGTGATGAAAAACAATTGAACTGCATTTTAAGTTTATGTATAGACCTGTCGTTATAATATTAACATTCAAAAAGGCAAAATCATTACCTATTGATTTAATTATTTTACACACATTTTTAACAAAAATAAGTATTTCGGGAATTCGTGGAAACTCAGTAGGTAATAATTATAATTTAAGATATAATATAATAAGCTATAAATTATCTTTTGAAAATTCTAGATCAATAGTGTTTTGGTCATATCTTGCGCACATGGCCAAATGCACATATTATGCAAAGTACTAGGAATAGTAAAATGAATCTAGGACGTTCCGACGTCCCCTGGATGGGACAAATTACCCCTGGACAAAAAATAAAAATGTTAAACAAGAATAATAATATACAATGCAAATAAATTTGCTCAATATAATTCTATATTAAATTAATTTATAAATATAATTCAATAATACGTCATAATAACACTTTTGTTATGTTTGCCAAATACCAATACAAATTCACTTATTAAAAATATTAAACAGTATACAAATACAAATTATAAATACTTATAGGTAGAAGTATTCTGGTAATATAGCTCACGGAAATTAAAAAATTTTAAATATCATAATTTACAAAACTTTCTCTTAACTTTTTAACCTGTCGTCTTTACCTAAATTATTACGAAAAACTCCTGCTCTATTATTTAAAATTTTTATTGAAGCACTCGAGATGCTCATTTGTACAGCTTCAAAAAAGTTTAATGATGTCGATATCGATATTATGATTGTATATTTCGGGAAAACCAAAGAATCTCTTTTTCAACTTAATATTATGTGTAAAAAAATATATAATATATTGATTCAGGTGGGAAATATCTCTGTTCCAGGGGGGGGGTCCAATAACGCTAAAATGTACGGGGGGACGTCCAAATACCCAGTATTGTCACTATATACTCATCTGTAGTTACTGACTAATGACTACTGTTACTATAATTCTAACAGGCAACTTCTTAAAAGACTACACAACTAAAAAAAATTTTTTTTTTTATTTATTTATGTGAAATATAACTAAATAATAAAAGACTATTGGCACCACAAAAAATTGTTAGCGTCCAATATTTAGCCAGTTATGGGTATTTGAAAAATTCGAGTGACGCACGGACCAAGATATACATATATATAGAAGATATATAGTATATCTTGGTCCGTGGCGTGACGTCATAATTTCGCCGCCGCCGTTTACTCTGTACACGCTTTTACGTGGATCCCTTGTGCCCTCTTCCCAAATAAATAAGCCATAACGAAAACACTCTAGTGAAATTAGATATTTGATCAAGTTATATTTCAAATTATATTAATTCCAATGTCCTCTTGTTTGTTAATTATTAGTTATCACTTGTTAGTACTTAGCATTGAACTATTTAATACTTAAATATTCATAATATTATATAGATCAATAGTACTTAGTTGTTACTTGTTTCAATAAAAACATCTTCCAATATTATTATTTATTAAAAAAAGTTTTCTCACAGTAACTAGTAACCGCAAAATAAAAACGATTTTCTCCAATGTTCATTTGTCCCAAACATTTTTGGAACAAATTATTGTGGAACTACCTACGTATATCAGTTGTCTCGTTTTTTTCTGAATAATTAACGGTTTTTTTCTTCATTTCGTTGCAAAACATATAATCGTAATGATAAGATAAAAGATAAGCGCCGTTTTCTTCAATATTTGAAAAGTTATAGTTTATCATTAACCATACTCCATAGACTTAAAACTTGTTATAATGTTATATAGTTGTACTAGAATACTGTAGTAAATATTAGTGTCATTAAGAATAATTTCTATCGTTAATGTAATTCACTAATTCATAACATTTAATGATTTGCTGGCCTGTTGTTGTTTCCATAATATTTATTTGGAACATTTAATGCTATATATTTAATTTACTACGCTTTCTGATTAATTAATCATGCAATTTTCGGTATTTGATGATCAGCCAGAAACTATTAAGGTAATTATGTATTTTATTTTAATAATACTTCATATTTAAAAAAAATATAGCTGTGTTTAATTAGTTTTAAATATTAATTTTAGAAATTTGAAGAAGATATGAAATATGTTAATTCCAAACTGAAAATGATTGACTCTAAACTATCATCTATTCATCCAATTAACAATGCATATGATGGTAAACTTAAAGGTAAATTAAATATATTTTAATAGAATTAAATGTATCTAACTTGTGATGTTATGTTTCAAATTTTAAATGTAGCTAAACTGTAAAGATTCTTGAAGACTTCAAACAATTTTTTTTTAAGTTACACAATTTTTAGTATCAAAGTATTAAACATTATAAATGTATGTATTAGTAATCTTATATTTTATTCTTTAGAAATATTAGTTTATGTACACAATAAAAAAAAAAAAAACTATTTAATATGCTTGACGACTGACAGTTTACAAGACTATTTATTTTAATGACATTGGTAATAAATAGTATATATTATTTATGTTCTATCGACTATTATATTGTACATAACAGTTATAATTATAATACAAAAAATATGTACGTATAATATTACAATAATGAAACAATATTATAAATTTATTGAACATAAACCTTAAATTCAACTTTTTATTATTTATATTAAAATTTTGATTGCAAATTTGCACTGATCTAGGAGAAATTCCTCTCTTTAAGATTTAGTCATTAATTATAATTTATAACAAATATATTATCATCATTTTGAAAATATCTAGATTGTTTCTTTATTTTTTGTACAAATCAAATACTATAACAGTATAACCTAACCCAACTATAATGTAATCATTTGATAGCAAAGCATATCATATGGACCCAACTAAAGTGGATTTCCTACCCCATTTGAATTGTATTCAAGTATTCATATCAAGTGATAAAATTATCTCAAACGCTTGAACTCTATTATACATTACTACAATAGATCAGGTTTTTAAATAATTATTTTTAATATTAGGACTTAGGAGCATATTCCACAAAAACTTGAATAGATTTCAGGTTCTGAGATTTTTATATTTATGAAGGTTATTCAACTTATTATTACCTTTTTTTAAGATTTTTTTTTTCAAAAGTGGTATTTATACATTCTTTTTTCAAAAGCTATTTGTTTCATGAGTTGATTCCCTAAGGTGAGTTGAATCAATGTAAACCAAATCAGTATGACACGTAGCTCAGTGACCACTTTCACCACAATGAATTAATAATTCTGAAATGACCAAAATTATATATCAATTATCAATTATGAATTATCACTTAGATCAGCTTTCCCCAACCTTATTCCCTCCCCACACACTAATCTCAGCCCATATTTTAGCCTTGGCAGACTTGCCACTGACTTACATGTGTATATATTTATTTGAATTTTAATATTAGGTTATGAAAATTCATGTAAAATCATATTTCAACGCATTACAAATATTAAGTTTATTGATATGAAGAAACAAATACATTACGATAACATTATTAAAATGTAGACCTAGTGAGAAACTTGAGACTGGTTTTCCTTCATTATAAGTTTCTTCTGTGATCAAATGGTTGACAAGCACACCCTTATATTGCCTTCAGAGTTCTTCGGTTTTGATTGACTTTTGGTCTTGATGACATTCATTGAAAAAAATTCTGCTCCACAAATATAAGATCTAGACAATGTTGAGTAGCTTTCCTTGAAATATTGGGATACTAAATTAACAAATGTATCCAAAAAGATGAGACGTTTTCTTTTAATTTGACTTTTTCAACTTTGACTATTTCAATGTCTTCAACTAATTAAGAGTACTCTTACTGTAGTTTAGACCAGCGGTTCTCAAACATAGGGCAACAATTTAAAACATTGATATAAAATTTTTATTTTTGAGTCTGGCTAAGAGTATTATGATCTGTTATTAGTATAAGTAATATGAGTAAAAAAAAATTAACTATTGAGTGTATCCAATAGTTATTTTTTATTCCCCCATTACATATTATTAATAAAAAGGTTGCTTGAAAAATTTTGTAAATAACTTGGGTCACCACTACACAATGGTTGAGAACCGCTGGTTTAGACCCTGGTCATTTTTAGTATAGATCAATCCATTTTCTTCATCTGTAGTAAACAGTGCAGTCTATGAAAGGATTTCTCCCCCAGTCCATTGACAAAACATCGAGAGATAAAAAAATACTTTTTAATATTTTTATAACGCAGGTTGTAGACTTAATTTGAAAGATCTGAGTCAATGTGACAGTTCTTGGTAAGATCATATATCCCAGGTTGTCTGTACTTCAAGTTTTGTAATCCATAGTAAAGCTTCTAATGAAAAGAACAAATTTTACATGTAAATGAGTGTTGTTTTGTTATATTGAATATTTGAAATCATAATGGATATTTAAATTATTTATAGTAATAAAGGGGCAAGTAATTAGTACTTGATAATTTTAACTTTAAGTACTCCGGACAATTTAGAGTGCATAATAGTGGAAATGTTTGGAAGTATTAAAAAAAAAAAAAAACTGAACATTTTACATTTTTACATTTTGTTTTGAATCAATATCTTTAAATTTGATTAATTGCAAATAATTATTTTTTTAAATTAATAAATAATAGTTTATACTTTGTACATCCTTATAAAGTGAGCGGTTTTGGTTACAAAAAATTTTAAGTGCTTATTTTAACACTTTAACCTAATATGTATGGTTTTGTCTTGTATTTTATCACAAGTGTGCCGTTTTAGAAGACAATGGTATAATTGAACCACGGATTTAAAATGTTGAAGCGCTCGAGCACACCAAAAAAAAATTCTCTTATCTCTATAATTCTATACCCAAAGGCCTAATTTGTATTTCATAGTTTCCAGTTAGACTTTGATCAAAAATATTTGAAGTGAGGTTCAGGCAAACTTGTTTAAACAATGTAATCGTCACAATTATAAAACTGTTGTAATTAAAGGAAAGTTTCGAGTTCATATAAAAAAATTAATTGTATTAGGTACTTTCTACTTAAAACTTCCAAAATATCAAATAATGCATTGTTCACAACTTAGTTAACATTCTGGATCAAAGCTAATATTTGTTTAACCGTATGCGAATGGTTGGTTAAGAAACGTATAAACACGTAATTAATTTAAATATTTGATTATAGTATCAATTATACATAATATATTATTGTGAAAACAAGATACTCCTCATAAAAAAAAAAAAAAAACAAAAAATCATTGCCGAAACCAGGGATCGAACCAGGGACCTTTAGATCTTCAGTCTAACGCTCTCCCAACTGAGCTATTTCGGCTTGTATATTACACCCAATTTTGGGTGTATAAAACACAATGGGTCAGCATTAACCTCGTTTTACTTTTTCTACGATAGTTTATTTTAACCTTAAGTTGTATGTATCTATTTCAATATCATAAAAGGGAGATTATTTCTCAAGAAATTAAGTATGCAAAATGTTAAGTGCAGCTATGGGCTTTTCAATTAAACACAATGTTTTAATAGGCAATAGCTTTAAAGACTTACACACTACACACTTAGTGATAATCGCCGTTATTTGGTTTGAATTAATTTTTGCGTCTAGCATTAATCCGTAATCGTCTAGAACTCAAGTATGAAACCAAATTTCCATTGAAAATCGCTACTAAGTATGAATGTTTAGGGCCGTATTTTAACTTCCCCCACCAAAAAAACTTATTTGTTGCTAGGTACTATTTTCAATTTTGTGAAGAATGCTGTTTAGCTCACTAGTGTTTTTTAGAAACACGTACTTCAATCTGTCATATGAAGTACAATGAAGTATTGACTATTGAAGTATTTTGACCTTAAATCCCAAAGATAATTTAGCCGACGTATTTTTGAAGTACCACATAAACAACATGCAAAAACACACATTTTGAATAGTAAAATTCACACAAATCAAGTTGGGAGCTAAACTACATTTGTTCCAAAAATGTATCATATATATTATATTGAAAGAATCGAGTAGTATACTATAATACATTAATACTACATACCTATTCTAAAAATAAAATAAATAGGCCTAAATGTCGAATTTGTTTAAATATATACCATTGTAGTATTGTACCATACCAACTATCAAAATCGGTTTTAGACTTTTTGTGGCGTTTTTACATGATACGTTTATAAATATAAATAAGAGTACTTTGTAACTCATAATTTATTAAATAACAATATTATAAAAAATAATCTTTACGAAAAGATTTATTTTAAAAATGTTATCGTTTTAGATTCTGAGCGGAACAATAAACTTATTGATTTTTCAATAATGTATTTTATTTTTCTGTTTTTTTTTGCAGAACTCTTAACAAAAATAAACGTAATTTTGACAAATTTGTTTGAATCTTGAGTAATTTGTAGGCATAACAAAATGTATTAGTTTATTTTTAATTTTTGTAGATAAACAATGTTCACTCGGTCAAAAAAAGGTCATAAAATTGTATACAAGGTTCCTATTAATTCATAAATTGTTGTTCGTGGCCATTTAAAAAAAAAAGGTTAAGTGTGAATTCTTAACATTTTTTTATGAGCGTCTGTAGTTAGAATTTTGACGAAATTTGCAAATTACTTTGAGTTAGAAAGTCAAAAAAATCTATTTGTTTTATACTTAGAAAATTTATCAATATATGCTCATAAGGTTTCTTCCATTAGTAAAAGAAAAAGTTTACCGGAAAATCACATTTTTTATGAGTTTTGATGTTCAAAAGCCTTAAATTAACGAATTCTTATCGGACGATTTTTGATAATACTTGCAAAATACCTCCAAAACTGCAAAACTGCATGTGAATTTAAATTTAACATTTTATTAATCCTGTTAAATACGTATGAGTTAAACTCGCTAAGCCTTTTAAATAAACATTTTAATGAATCAATAAAAAATTATTGCCGAAACCAGGGATCGAACCAGGGACCTTTAGATCTTCAGTCTAACGCTCTCCCAACTGAGCTATTTCGGCAGATACGCTTAATGCCCATATATGCCATATAAAAGTATAAAAAAACAAAATTGTTATCAAAAAAAAATTTGTAAAAATTATATGCCGAAACCAGGGATCGAACCAGGGACCTTTAGATCTTCAGTCTAACGCTCTCCCAACTGAGCTATTTCGGCTGTATGAATCGACGCCATTTTTACAGTATGTAAGGCGACTTTAAAGTACATTTAATTTAAATATAGATGGCGTTACTGTAATCTATAAATCTTTAATTATTATATAAACGGATCACTGATTTCTTAAAACCGAAGAAGTCGGTTTACTGTATAGTTGGGTTTGAGTGATCTCATCATTTCAATGTTAAAACATCGCCTACAAAAAACGATTTCTGTATTTCTTGGGATATTTTTTTATTTTATTTTTATTTATAGTTCAGTATCATGGGTTGAACTAATTTTACATATAAATTATAATATAATTATGAATTTCTATACTATAGGTATACCTATTATTAGTATTATTGTTATTAGCTAAATTATTAAATCAGTATCTACCGCGTAAGCCGTTGAAAGATTTGTCATTTAAATTTTGAATACGTTCGAGGTATAAATAGCTCCAAACATTTTCAAAAATAACACTAAATTTTAAATGTTAATGAATATAGTATTTATGAACCTGTAATTTATAACCAATATAATCCTAACAAAATTATTAATTTTTTGATGAGCTATAATTTTATAACTTTTATAACAATATATTAATACCCATGTATTTTTCTAGATACATCTAATATAAGTTATTTAAAAGATCAAGAAGATGAAAAGAAAATTGAAGACTTTCCTAACTCTACGGCTAAGACTTCATACAGGTAAGAGTACAATAGTTTTATTTTAAATGATATACATTTATTTTTCATGACAAAGCTTGACAGCTCCATTCATGATTGTTTTAGTATTTACTATTTGATCATATTATTTACTAGAATGTCTAGGATATTGTTAAATTCAAAGTATTTTATTATTTATTTACTATGGTTTTATTATCTAAAATATATTAACTTATACTCAAAAATGTATTGTTATACTTGGAGTAAACTACTACATTTTATTGGTGATGAGGGTCGGGCTATTCCAGCAGAATATTTGGAATATTCCCAGTAGTCCGCAGCTCCAAAAATATAGAATACAAATGTAATGTAATGTATACAATATCTGAATATTCTGCATTTTCATAAAATAACGAGTGAATGCACAATTTCTTTTTACATTAGGAATTTTGAAAATTAAAATATATTTTAAGTTTCTCTTCAATGATTAAATCCTCCTAATGGTATAAGCAGAGCGGTGTTACCGTATACCCATCTCATCCTTGTCGACAGTTATTACTATTTGTATCTATTAACATTTTACTTTGGAGTTTACGAGCAAAAGATCAATAATAAAAAAAAAATACTAATAAACCACAGTTATAACTTAGAATTAAATTATAATCAAGTCTAATTCTCTAGTCCACGAATCAAGAGTAATTACTAGTTATATAATAATAATTAATAATATTATATTGTAGATAGCTACTCAATAATATGATACAATATTGTATTGTTGTGGGCTGATAATAGCATTTTACGTACGTTCAATGGACAAAGTTCTTAAAAGTGACTATTTTTAATAATCATAATAAGAAAAGTGTTGTCTGGTACTCGTGTTTATAACATCACATAAGACATAACCTGTTACCTAACTATAATACCTATACGGATTACCGGTGTATAATGTCGAAAAATTGAAAAAAAGTAAATTCGTATAGTTACTAGTTTTCAAACTAGATAATATATAAATATCGATTACGTATCGTTTCCATTGCGCCGCGACCATTAGAAAAAAACACTTAGATATAGCTTGTAAGTAGTACCGTTAAAACAACCAATTTAAAATCTCTTTAATTTCGATACTAAGTCTGACCGCATAATTCTGACTTCACCATAATTTTCAGTACCTATACCTAAATATATAGCTACAAAAATTGTTACATAAATTGCAGCAAAAAAAGGTACCGGTATAACCTACGAAGGTTTTTTTTAATATAACGTTATATTTTTATAATACACTTTTATATTTTATAACTTATATGAGGTACCTGGTCCGATTTTATTTTTACTTTAAAGCAGTTGTTCGCTCGTGTTAATGGAAGGGCGCATATATTTCTATAAGTATAGGTTGGGTGCGTGTCTGAGCCATGAGGAAACCGGTGTTCTCTTATTGACAAACACGATCAACTGAAACTGCAGATGTCTTTGGACTTATTGTTAAGAGTACTTTTTATAGTTGTGTGCACATTTTTGATCAGCTGCCTCAGAAATGTATGATGCAAGATGGTGCTCGTGCCATAGAACATAATATGAGTGGGGTTCTACCATAATATGTTCTTCAATATAATGGAGTGTGAAGGAAGGGGTCCTTACTCTTTTGTGTTCAAAGGCTTTCTTCACCTAGTTCAATGGCTTACATCATACGTATTCCTATGCTTCTTTGTTACTACCTAGACATTACAAAACAAAATTAAGAAACCTATCTATTGAATAGATGAATCGCGAATATCATTATTTATAAAATGTCTAACTGTCTAAGTAATGGTTTTTGATTACACAAATACACCGTACTAAATACTTATTATGCCTAGATAATTTTATACGTTGTACTCGTTTTTAAATGTTTTTTACCTAGAGTGTCTTAACACTAAAGTGTCATTAAACAATATTTTATATAATCGTAAATATTCGTTATCTTCTAACTAGATACCTATTTTTATAAACCTGAGTTATTAATGATTAGGTAGGTACTAATTAGTAATATTAGTTTTGTTTTGCTTTACTGCTAATATATTCATAATTAATACGGTACTGTTAGGTGTTTACATGTTGAATAAAACTCATAAACATATCTTGTCCTTCCGAAAAAAAAAATTAAAAAAACCATGTATACACAACAATTATTAATGATTATAACTAGGTACCTACGTCACAATCATAGTATGTGTAGGAAGCCCATCAAGGCTATAGAGAGGCTAGGCTGCTCTGAAAATGTTATTTCCACCAAAAAACTTATCAAGTACAATATAACGTAAAAACAAATAAGAAAGATTTTTCCACCTAGAATTTCTATTTTTCCTGGGTTTTCATCAAAAAAACTTAGCCTCCTCACCACGAAAAAGGATTAGTGCTTTTATGATCAACGTTAAGGTTCTATACATATATATACATACGTAGATATATAGGTTTTACAGCTGTCCAAACGGACATATATTATACGTATGTTTCCCGAAACTCATTTCTATTACGTCTATCTTTAGACAATGTAATATGATGCATTATAAATTATAAAACTCATGTTAAAATCTCATTAAAAATAAAAAAAATATTATGCATTATGCATACAAATAAGTAAAATACCAATATACTATACCTATCACGCCATCACGGAAATTCCTTATTTCGTTTCGTTAGTGCCTCTAGTCTTTACTCTTTACACTCGGAGGTTTATTCTCCCACTCTACGTCTCTACTCCATTTTATATCTTAATTTTACAGTCGCACTACAACTTAAAAATTCATTAACAGGTAATAGAAATCCGAGCAGTCCCAAGGTCATTGGAAAAGAAAAACAGCATGTCGCACATGTGTCATTTTTATATTCTTATAAATTCATTACCGAGTACTGCGCATACGCCGGCGCGTCCCCTCAATTATTGCAAATTGTGATGATAATCCCCTCCACCAAATCCAATTTTTAAAATATAAAAATAATAGGTTATGATAATGTAAAGGAATACAAAAGTGACATTACTGTTTACTTGCTTGGAATATATTTTGAATTGTGGAGTCATTCCCGAGTGTCGGAGTTTGAAATGCAGTTAACGTTCTGATAAATAAGAAATAACAACACGTTGCTCACACAAACAAGATAACGTAAAGAAACCAACCAACCTTGGCATGGGTGATCCGTAAATGTGTTTTGCATACAAAAAACTCGCCTAACCTGAATACCATTGAAGTAGTCTAGAAAATACACGTATCATACTTACACGTACATACATAATATACACACACTCGACACGCGCATAATAAATGTGTATTAAAATGTCTTATGGTGTATCGTGTACTTGTAATGTACATTCAATTGTACATTCAATTTATGTCATATTTGATACTTTCGAAATTCGATTCTTATTTCATAAGAATGATGTACATGATTAATTTTAATATTAATCAATGATGATTCGATCTGTATTGGCTGTATTCTAGAGCTCTAGGCAGTTATCCAACCAATTCTAGAACCAACTAATCTAAAAAACATAAAATTATAAATAACAGCAATTCACAGTATCTTTTTTTAAATGCTCGGTTAGAGCCTTGATGAAATACACTTTGGGCCCGATGCAAACAGCACACGTCTGTTTTTGAATAACTTAAGGGCAAAACCACCTGCAACAACAATTTTAATATTTTGGAGGGTTTGACAATATATTAGTGATATAAATTAATGACTAAAGGTTATTTTGTCTTTATTACATGCACAATTTTGCAACTACATGAAAATGATATAAAAAACTTCTTAAAAAAATTAAAAAAATTACATGCCTCCTGTGAGGTTTGAACTCACGACCCCTGGTTTACGAGACCAGTGCTCTACCACTGAGCTAAAGAGGCGCGTTGCGATTCCTGTAGGAAATGAATTTATTTAAGCACATTGTATGTTGTGTTAGAATATTTTAAAAATTGATGTAAATTTTATTACAAAATAATTTCTTTAGTTTCCGTATTACGTAATATTGTAATTATACATTATTAATTTATTTTTTCTATGTAGTATGTTTAAACGCTTTACTAAAAACGAATCAAAAAAAAAAAAAATGTTTTTTATTTATACTTGTTATCACTAATAATATACTCGTATTATTACACTTTTCTACTTAATACTGTAGACTTATTTTTAGTATTTTAACTTCAGAAAGGTGTAAAGTAGTAAGTTTTTTGTTTAGATTATATTCTTATATACTATATATTGCCATCAGATTTTGGAGCGGAAAATTAGCTCAAATCTTCAACATTGAGCACTCTCAATTTTCTGGTGGAAATTTGATCTAGTTTCTAAGATGCCAAAAAAAAAAACAACGAAATAATATATGAACAATTATTTTTGAATGTTTGAAGTTCAAATTTAAAAAAAATATGTATCTAAACATTAAAAACCTATTTTACCTTAAACTATTTTGCTATAATTTAAAAAATATTAACCGTATAAATTTGAAAATTCTAATGTTACTTAATGTGATATTGTCGATATTGACCTAACGAATAAAGTTTTATTGAAAGATATAGAAAAAACTTACAAAATTGAAAATATCTGTAAACAGTTCAAAACGAGTCAAAATATTTTAAAAATTGTAACAAACATAGAAAATGAAAAAATGATCGATAATTTTAAAGTATCTACGGTTATTTGTTTTTGAATTACTGCAAAATAAGGAAATCGTTCCATAAGAAATCGACTGAATATCCATTGTCTTAAAAAATTTGAACTTCAAACACTCATAACAATTTAATTAGTCTTCTGATCGACATTTTTTTTTTTTTAAACGTAGACAAACTTATCAGAAAAATTGTAAATTGTCTAACCTTAGATTTTGAAAGATAAATTTGTATGAATTTCTAACCCAAAATAATTTGCAAATATTCGTGATTTTTACGAATTTTGTCTTACTCGAACTTTAGACATTCATAAAAAATTATTGTGGATTTACGCTCTACTTTTTTTTTTAAATTTCCATTAACATACACCATACACTTATTGGGAACCTTGTAATGCGTTTT